GAGAGAAAGAGAGAGAGAGAGGTTACGTTCCAAAATTCTATCTTACTATTAAATGCAATATTTCACGTCACGTATACTATAGTTTTTAGTTCCCAAAGTAGGATTTTAGAATGTAACCTCTCTCTCTCTCTCTCTTTCTCTCTCTCTCTCTCTCTCTCTCTCTTTCTTACGTTGCTTTAATGTAAAAATATGCATATATATTATAGCATTAATATGCAATAAAAGACATACAATCATTCATATTCTCGTATTTCTATTTTTTTAAATATAACGTTATTATACATGCAATATATTAATATTTGTATATTACAATATATGAAGCTAACATTTTACATTTGCCAGGACAGCACAATAAAAAGATTAAGATATACATATACTTTATCTTTAACAATCACAACACAATTGAGAGAGAAAACTGAACTTTACACACACACCCACACGCACACGTATATCTCCATAAAAGAGAGAGAGAGAGAGAGAGAGAGAGAAAGAAAGAGTGAGAGAAAGAAAGAGAGAGAGAGAATGAGATTGTCTGTTCAATATTTACCTTTTCATATTCTTGTGAAGAAGCTTGAGCCCACATCGTCATCCACGCCATTGTTTCGTTTGCTGGCGGTTGATCGTTCGCTGGCGGCCAATCGTTAGCTGGTGGCCTATTGTAAGCTGGCGGCTGATCGTTCGCTGACGGCCGATTGATAGCTGGTAGCCTATTGTAAGCTGGCGGCTGATCGTTCGCTGGCGGCCAATCGTTAGCTGGTGGCCTGTTGTAAGCTGGCGGCTGATCGTTTGCTGGCGGCTGATTGTTCGCTGGCGGCCGATTGTTAGCTGGCGGCTGATCGTTCGCTGGTGGTCGATTGTTCGCTGGCGGCCGATCATTCGCCAGCGGCTGATCGGTAGCTGGTGGCCGATAATTAGCTGGCGGCTGATCGTTCGCTGGCGGTCAATTGTTCACCGCCGGCCGATCGTTCTCTGGTTGTCGTTCTTTGGTTTCTTTCACGGGAGATCGCTCAAGTATTGGTACAGTTTGTCCTGAAAAAAGAAATACTTATTTATTTATTTGTTGAAATATATTAAAAATGTATTAAAATAATACATGTGTGTATTATATTATTATGAAAAAAATAATAGAATTACTTACGTCTTCGTCTCCTCGCCGTACCCGATCCCGATGATGAATGCTACCGTTGCCTACAACTCCATGTTGAATAGTGACGAAACCGGCGCATTGATACCACTGTAATCACTCACAGCGATCACGTGTCAATACGACGATCTATTTTCCGCATGCGCAATTGCACGTATAAGCGCGTCCTATGCGCGATATGCTTGCCGCGCTGCGGAAGTTAGTTAGGAAATAACGCGGAAAAATGTGGTAGCCAAGTATATATATATATATATATATATATGTCGCTGCTTTATAAGAACAAATTGCTCATTGGTTCTATTGCTCTACGTGTGGTTCTTTGTTACGCGTAACATTTTTATGCGTTTTGTTTATCACCATGTGATCATGTTATTCGTTAAAACATACAAACGTGAAACGTTCACATCCTCTTAGCTCAAACTTTTTGGCGGTAAAATAATAATTAAATTAGAGTTGACCGTTGCTCATATCAATCAAGTTTTACTTAATATTATTTTTATAGCACTACAATTGAACACTTTTATTAACATATCATTGTTATAATTACGGAAACATTGTATTTATTACTCTGAGGACCATATTCAGTCAATTTTAATATTCTGTCGAAATTTTTCTTTACTTGTTTTTGTATAACTTTTTTGTTACATTCAAAGAAAACTATGAAAGTAACAACTTTACAAAGTACAAGTTATTTAGAGAAAAATACACTAAAAATATACATATACATACATAATATTGTAAGTTGTTTTCAGTACATGAAGAAGTACTCGCATTTGTAGACACATAGTTAGTATAGAAACGTGTTTTATCTTAATAAGCAAATTGTAAAAATATTGCACAAAAATAGCATTATGAAT